CAGCTCCCAATATAGCCATAAAATCATCGAGAAATTGATGAATTTAAGAAAGTTGAGTGTTTTCTAACCCCAGGACAAGCCCCACACTTCAGTACAGCGTGAACTTGGAGTTTCAATGTCTTCCGAGAGCTGAACTCAACCCATCTGAGAGAGCAGGAAAGCTTCATAAGGTTTTGTATGAAATCGCAAGACTTGGATCTTCTTCAAAAGCAAACTGAGGAAAAAGGAATTCCCCCATGCTGATGCTAGCAGAGGTCATCAGAAGAGCTGAAAGGTTTAGGTCTTCCATTTCCATCAGCCCCCTTCCAGACACTGCCACTTGCATGGAGACACGGAGCGCTTGACCCCGGAGCATCCCAGAGTCAGAGGGGAACACGACATCCCATGACAAACACCTGCCCTCCACAAAGGGCTGCTGAAAGATGGGAATGAGTGTGCTGCTGGGGTCTGGAGGAGGACATGGTTTAGCCAGCAGAGATTCTTCTGCCCATTCCTCCCCACCCACCTACAACCACTTCTGCCCCACATCCTTCAACTTGGCCTCCGACAACCTGCATCGTTCCAGGAAAAGTCCCAATCCATGGGATGGTCTCCTTCCCACTCAGCCTGGTTGAAATCTTTTTGGACATTAAAATCCAAAAGTGCTAACTGACTGCTGCTATTTTTTAAAGGCTTCTAACGCAGCCAACCTGAGCAGCCTGCCACGGCAACAGCCAAGGGTTCATCCCAATCCAAAGTCACCTTTCTGCACTAACGCAGTTGGAATTTTTCCTGGCCCTGTTATCAGGAGTGACTAATATGCTGCATATCGTATTCCTCATCAGAGAGACCTCTGACTTGGAAAATTTCAGTCTCTGAGTTGATGAAAGTAAAAGCAAAAGCAAGGGAAAACAGGATTTGTTAGTGTGATCTTAATCCTAAATTGTCCTAACCTGTAACTTCAGATATTCAAAATTATAGTTTACATGACATCAAGTAGTTACACGCTGTGAAGAAAACACCATTCTAACCTATATTTTGCTGTCCTACATGTTATGCTCAGTTTTCCTTGTAATCGACAGAAAAATTCAGTCCAAGCAAGCATAGCATGCTCATAGCTTTCTGATGGAACCACCAGAATCTGCTGCTCTGTGCAATGCTGAAGGATTTATAAAAAATGCTGTGGAGCAGCACCGACTACTCCAGGCATTTGAAAGAAAGAAACAAATGGACACTGCTGAGAGTACCTGAACATAGATACACCAACACATCTCCAGGGTACAGAGGGTCAAAGCCAAATATTGTTAAAAATAAAAAATACTCCATGGGAAACTTGTGCAAGTCCTGTTCTTACATATGAACAGTGGCTACAGTATGAGGAAAGCGAAGAAAACCCAACACTTTGCACCTGTGATTAGCAGTCCTCATGCAGATCAAGAGGAGCCTTACTCACTCTCCAGGCATGCTAACTTTTAACAACCTGAATTCCTGCGGACTTCAGCCTCTAGGGAAGTGCCAGTGTGGGTTCTCTGTTGTCTAATAGAAGGGTGAGCTCATGCCAAAGCTGCTCTCCATGAAGCAATAACAAAGTCTCAAAACCTGTTTTCACAAAGCTCACGGAAAACTTGTTTTTAGAGCTAAATATTGTGATATTCTACTGACATTTGCCAATAAAGTTACTATGATGACAGTGTACGTGATTAACAAATCACTTCATGGCGAAACAGAGCTGTTAGACCTGGAACCATGCTGAGCTTTTAAGCTTCAAAAATTTATAAAAAACACCTTTTAATCACCTCTAAACAAAGCAAAAACATGCTTTGTTAAGAATGTCTGGATTGACTAGCACTGATGGGAAGTGTTGCAATGGGTGCATTACTTCTCTCCTCATCATGATCCAGCCTCTCCAAGCAATGGAAACTGTTTGCACAACAACACAACACCAAGATGCCTCCAGCACCTGAGAGAGCCTTCAGAATCCACAGGGAGCCATACAGCTCTATCACATCCCTAACACAGCCTTGACGTTAGAATGATGCCAGAACTTCCAGTGCATGAAACCTGAAGTGTTTTGAGGTGGGGAGTCTCTTGGGTGAGTGCAGGTTGGTATCCTGACGACGGCTATCCTGGTCAAGGTGGTGTCCAAAGCAAGACATTGGTCAGGCACTGGGGAAGCGGGAGATGGTTGGAAACACTCATACTACCATGGAATGTTTCAGGCTGGAAGGGACCACAGTGGGTCCATCTGGTCCAACTTCCCTGCTCAAGCAAGGTCATCCCAGAGCACATAGCACAGGATTGTGTCCAGATGGTTTTGGAGTACCTACAGTGAGAGAGAATCCACACCCTCTCCGGGTAGTCCCAGTGCTCCGTCACTGCACAAGAAAGAAGTTCCTCCTCATGTTCAGGTGGAACTTCCTGTGCATCAGTTTCTGCCCATTGCCTCTTATCCTACTGCAGGGCATCCCAGAGCAGAGAGATCCATCCTCTTGGCAGGTTGGAACATTTACTACAGATAAATATCGTTATTTTTAACCCCATTTAGATATTTATAAACATAATTTCATCCGAGGATCTACACCACTGTGTCCGAAGGGGAATTAAGTCCTTCAGCAGAGCCTACTTTACGTGCCCCCTCCCATCCCATCCCATCCCATCCCATCCCACCGGCGAGGCTCCCGCGGTACCTGCGGGCGGGAGGCGGCGGCGCTGGCCGGGAGCGGCGGGATGCCGGGATGGCCGGGAGCGGCGGGATGGCCGCCGGCGCTCACCTGGGCGGAAGCGGGAAGCGAGGGGCGATCCCGCCTCACCTGCGGCGCAGGAAGCCGGGGCGGCGCGGCGGGAGAGCCGCCTCCCGAGGGACGGCCGGGAATGGGCTCCTCCCGGCCCCGCCGGGCCCGCGGGCGGTGCGGGGACAGCGCTCGGGGAGGGGACAGGGCTGAGCCCGCCAGCGGGACGCGGGGCCTGGCCGATCGGGGAAGTGCAGAGCAGAAATTAACTTTTTAATCGGTTTCCAGGTGATATTGACCTCCCAATGTGTTTATAAGTCGTGGTTGTGACACGTAGTCACATGGGCACCGACCTTCCCAGCGAAGGCAAAACAAGTGTAAATATTGTAGAAAAGCTTGTTTTCCGCTCCTTTGCAGTAAATCGGTGTACAAACTTGATTCCGGAGCTGTTTTGCACTCCCCACAGAGGTTAGGCAAGCTGTGCTCAGCCTCAGCAGCCCCCACCACTTCACCCAAGGGAACGGCAAAAAACATAGGAAAACGTGGACTTGGATGGAGTCAAGGGATTTCAAGGCTTCTCCCCCAGAGCACCGAGCCAGCTCTGCTCCCAACAGCACCCCAAAACACACCACGTCACTGCAGCTTCCAAAGAAACACAGTGCAGTGCCCAGGATGGCAATAAAAGCAAAGTTTTACTTCCACTAGTCACAAAATACTGAACAGGCACCATTTTAGTGGAAGTTAATTCTGGGAAATGCAGGTGCTTTCTATCCCCAAAACCTGTCTGTTAGCCTGCTTTCTGATTTTAAAAAAATTAGATATGTAAGCACCAAAATCTCCAAATTGTAATTTTTATTCTGCTACACAGTTTCATGAGCTCATTTGCTAATCCCACACAGCCCTGCTCACTGCACACAGTAAGGGCTACAGAAGATTTGGAAAATAATTTCTCATCGATTTCCCCTCATTCTAGTGCCTGTTTTGTTTTACTAAGCAGCAGCAGTTGCACTAGAGCATGCAACATGCTAAGAACACACCATTTCATCCCCCTTTTTAAAACATTCCAGCTCCAAACGCCCAACTTCCCAGTCGTCACTCTCAGTTTTAATTAATGTGGCGCTCATGAGAAGTGACAATTTTCTTGACAGTGATGAACAGCAAGTGGTGTATTTATCCATCCGAGAGACGTGCTGCAGACAGAAGAGCCGAGCACTTTTCCCATCAGTGCACTTCTGTCTCCATCTCTGAGGGCTGAGTTCATCTTGGAGCGCGCTCTGGCCCTGGCCTTTCGCTTCCAGTTGCTGAAAGGGGTATCAATTTTCATTTGCATACTTTGCCTGCTGAACTCCAGGCTGCCAATTCAGTTTACACAAATCTCCCAAAAAGCTGTTAGATGACAATATTTCACATCGCTGGCTGGGCTCTTTGTCAGCCATCCACACGTTTTAAATCTGCACTTTTACAGATTCTGAGTATCTGGGACCAGAACAAACCTTTCATTGGTATCGACACGCTAGACACTAGTCACCATTCACTAAAGTAACACCCAGTAAACTCAAAAGACTTCCAGAAAGGCTGGGTAACGATGATGTTCTAATCAGTACTGTCTCAGAGTTGCTTTTCCAGCTTTCTAGGTCCGGTTTTCAGGAAACACTTCTCGAGCTGATGTGAACTTACGACAGTGATGCTGCCTTTCCTGGTGTGTTTACCCCAAATGATTTCGCCATCTCCTATAAACAGCCCGGGATCCCCAGCAGTTCATGAGCGAAAACTGACTCCTTCAAACACTAGCAAAACCTGATACAGCCACACTAGAAAAGCATTAAATAGCTGTTAAGAAAGTGAGAAAACAAAAAGGTAATCACCACCAAAGATGAAGATAAAAGCTTGCCTGCTCCAGGCATTAATTATTCATTTAAAAAATAGAAATAAAAAGCGTTTTTAACGATGCCCAGTTTCATCCAAAATAAAGCAACAATTTCAAAGTATTTCCTTAATCCGACTGCTGTGGGTGTGGTGGACACAGTGCCAGCACATCAGACCCACCTGGCTGCCAGGAAAGGTCCCAGCCCAGGTTAACCTGGTTTGGGAGGTGCTGACAGGTCACACCTTTAACCTCTACTGGGCTTTTTAAACTTATTTTAGAGTACCCAGCAAACTCCAGACGCCACCACCCACAGGTTCGATTTCAGCCCCGCTCCGGGAGGCTCCCCGCGGTTGCTCACAGCTCCCCTCGGTGTCCCCCATCACTCCCACCCCTCCCCGGGGCCGGGCGCCTCACGCCTGACATCTTGAGTGAGGGCAGTCATGCGCAGGTGCCGGCGGTGGGCGCAGCCATCTTTACTCAGGGCACGGCCCCGCCCGTCCCGCCACTGGGCCCTGCCAGCGCCATCTTGGGTAAGGGCGCTCTCTGCCCTCAGCGCTGCCTCAGCAGCCATATTTAATGAGGTCATCCTACGCCCCTCAACATCACCTCCCCAAAAAACCCTAAACTCCCAACCCTCCCTCTTAGCACCCCACGAACACCCCGACGTACTCCCCGTTTCTCCCCGCAGCCAGCGCGGGCTCCCACCGCGGCGGGGCCATTCCGCTCCTCCCCTGTCAGCTGACGGCGGCGGCGGTCCCGTCATGGCCGCCCGGAGCGGCGCGGCTGAGATGCGGGTGCTGCTTCTCCTCTGGTTCGCAGCCCTGGAGGGAGCGGCGAGCTCGGAGCCGTCGCTTAAGTGCGAGGAGCTGCGGATGGGGCAATATCCTGAGCGGAGCCGGGGCCCGGGCCGGGGCGAGGGGTGGTGGTCGTGGTGATGGGCCCGGTGTGAGGCGGAGGGCACCGCTTGTCCCGAGCCCCGGCTGGAGGGGAGGGGGCGCTGAGGGCCGTGAGGTGCCTGGAAAGCCTCAGGGTGGGAGTCCCGAAGGGTCTGAGCTGGTGGGAGCGGGGCCAGGCACCACAGAGTGGAGGATGAGAGGAAATGGCCTCAGGCGGCACGAGGGAAAGTTCAGTGGGGTCATCAGGAGGAATTTATTCACAGAAAGGGTGATTAGACATTGGAATGAGCTGCCACGGAGGTGGTGGAGTCACCATCCCCGGAGCTGTTTAAGAAAAGACTGGATGTGGCACTCAGTGCCGTGGTTTGGTTAACGTGGTGTTTGGTCACAGGTTGGACTCGGTGGTCTCAAAGGTCTTTTCCAACCTAATTGATTCTGTGATTTAGGGCTGTTTCTCTGTGTGCCTCAGGGCAGGTTTGGGATGTCTCTCCCATTTTCAAAGAGAAGATCCTATGGGATAAAAGACCTCACTTCCCCATCTCTCCACCTTCTTATTTTCTGCAGGACACTGGAGTGAGATGCGGAGGCTTTATCCTATTACTAGGAAAAGTTTCTTCCTGCAGAGGGTGGTTGGGCACTGAATGGGACCTGCAAAGCTCCTGCTCTCTGAGATGCCTCAGGCCCTCTGCAGAGCATGTTGGTGGATGGCAGCTGACAGTTACTGATGATCAAAAGTGTCAGGAAAGCAAATCTTGAAAAAGCTAGCTTCAGCTCCTGCTTTACTTGGCTATGGGAGTTGAAACCTCTGGAAGTCAGTTCCTGCTCAGTTTGTTTCTGCACCAAATTCCTGGCATTTCAGATGTTCATTTTTATGTGTTCTTGGAATTTTGTACATTCCTGTAGATTTAATCTTCTCAACCAAATGCCTCAATTTCAAAGTATTTAAATAAGGGAAGAAGACTAGATGAGCCATGTGCTACCTTCTTGCCTTCAAATACAGAGGCTATGACTGATAAATATTGTAGTTCCTTTAGGTAGTGCTGACTGCAGCACTAATTAAACGTGGGGCTTATGCGATATATTGGTGTATTAAATTGGATTAGCAGATTTGCTGCATGGTAATGTGCTGTTCCTGTTTTGGGGGATGGGTAGGAACTAACATCAAGGTGCATCTTAAATCCTCAGGGTTTAAGGAGGGTGGAATAAATTACTGTTAAACCTGTTGTAGTGTTTGATATGAAAAATGTTTTCCTCAATTACCTGAACATATATGTGTGATGAGCCTAAAATAGACAATAGCACACAGGAACCAATGAATTGCACAAATCACACAGCATATGGTAAGGATTTCTAACTTATATATTGATTAACTACGTTTTTCAAGGAAGTGTTCAGTTTATGCATTTGTGTATCTGCTAGGTGAGCTTTATAAAAGATGGGATTAGTAATACTATTAGTCTGAAAGCCCAAAGCACTTGTGTGGATTGGGTGCTTTACTAAAAAGGAATAAATGCATTGTCTCTGATTGGTACATTTCTAAGTGAGGTTTCTGGTAAATCTCTTCAATGTATGTTACATCCTTTAGGCTCTGTCCTGCACTGCTGTGATTAAAACAAACCATTCCTGTCATACTGATTTTGCATATAATTATTAGAAGAATTGACGTGTGACGGAACAGCCTTCAAAATCTTCTAATTTTTAAGTTTTTTTTTCTTAAGGCAACATGGTGCTTTCCATCTTTACTAGGTTCTGCTGCACAAGGCTCTGTTTTGAAAGCACATTTATTTGATGATCAGTTCTGATGCACTTTTGAGTTCAACAGAATAAATCTTAAATTGATCCCTTGATTTCCTTCCTGTGTTTAATTTTTTTGATGTTCTCAGACATTGAAATAAATGGTTTGATAGCACAGCAGTTTTGCTTTATTTGTTTTATGGGACCTTAAAGCTCATCCAGTTCCAGCCCTGCCATGGGCAGGGACACCTTCCACTAGACCAGGTTGCCCCAAGCCCCATCCAACCTGGCCTTGGATTCTTCTACAGATGGAGCAGCCACAAAATACATGTGTGTGTGTTTTTCATATTTTACACTCCGTAAGTGTTGAATGATTTTCTTCACTGGGATGCTCTGGCATGGGGAAGGTTTTCCAAATAATTTGGCTGAAAATACTATCTAAAATGGATCATTTTTTGAGTTACTCAGTCCTTTACATATTTTTTTATATTTTGTTTCTGACTATAAATGGCTAGTCAGAGAGTAAAAAGAATGTAATGTAGTTTGAGGTTGATCACAAGTCAGATTATCAGTTGTTTAACTAAATACTGTGTGATTGTATTTAATACACTATACTTTTGAACAGGAGATAAGCTTCAAAGTAGACCAAGTTGTTAAATTCATTAGTGTTTTCTTTGTGCAGCATTTTTACACACAGAGCAGTTTTTAGATTGTCCCCACAGTACTTGAGCTGATTCTTTTTTTTTCTTTTTTGTATTATCTAAGTTATTACCTAAGTAATAAAAAGTTAATTTCTGGCCCATACTTGAAGCACTGAAGTTCCTAAACACCTTTGTGGGATCCATCACCCAGACAAATGGGTTAATTCAAAGCATCAAAGTGGTGTCTTTGAGTAGTAAGTTTGGAGTGACCCTGAAAACTTAACTATGGCTTTGTTTATATCAGTACATTTTAACTGCACTGGGTTTTTTCAAAGTAACATAAAGCACTGCTTTCTTTGCATAATTTTTTTACAAGTAAGTGCATTTTTTTTGTATTTGCCTTCTACTAGACAAGCACATTGATCAGTAGCATAAATGTGGGGCTTTATAACAGTTAAGTCCAGGCATAACTGGAATATTATTTTTTTGGTCTTTATGCAATATGGATAGATATAAAAAAAAAATGCAACTCTTGCCTGTGTGTATTATTGGAAAATCTGGAAAGACATATTGAACCTGGCTTGCAGGTCAGATGGAATTAACCAACAGTACTCACAAGTACTGAAAACTGTAAAAAAGTGGGCAAAGGACTGGGTTTTTTCCTTTTAAAAGAAGAGACTTCAGCATTAAGGAATGACTAATATTCTGGTAATACGTTGCAAACTTCTAGCAGATGTCACTTTCTGCTGTGATTTCCACTTTGGTTCTCTAAAGAATAATGGGATAATTTGGGTAGAAAGAGACCTCAGGAAGTTGTGTAGTCCAACCTTCTGCTCAAAGCAGTGTTGGCACTGAATTCTAACCAGGTTGCTCAGGGCTTTGTGCAGTCAGACCTTGAAAACCTCCAGGGATGGTGATGACAGGATTTCTCTGGGCAACTTGTTCCAATATTTGACTGTTCTCATGATGAAAATGTTTTCTGTGTGTCAGGTTCTGATTTCTCATTGACTCATATTGAAACCAGAGTGGGAATTACAATAGAATTAGTGCAGCAATTGGATTTGTATATTTTGCTTAATATTTAGCAAAGAAAAAATACAAGTTGGTCATAGGACTGGCTTAAAAAATATTTTTAAACAAGTAATATGTGTGTGAACTGTGCTCTCTATCAAGGCCGTTCTACAGCAGAACCTAATTTGTTTCAGTTGTGTTTTGCTAGGAAAATGCTGTGATTGTCAGTTACTGCTCAATTTCAAATAATTTTTTTGTCCTCAGTTCAGTGTCTGCCAGCACCAAATATTACTTGCAAAGATCACCTTGGCATAGAAAAAGTCTTTACAGGACAGGAGGTTGGATTTTACAAGCCTATTGAGTGTCGCAATGTGTAAGTACTCACAGGCTTTTGTGATCATTTATCTTTGTTTTCGCATTGATGTTTTTCTAAAACCCTGTGATGTGTTGACAGAAGGAAAAAGAGAAGTAAAATAGAACCAAACACGTGTTGCCCAGTAGTTAATCCTCTAATAAACACTATAAAGATGCAGCAGAGAGTCATGGAATGGTTTGGTGTGGAAGGGACCTTAAAGCTCATCTCTTTCCAACCCTCTGCCGTGGGCAGGAACACCTTCTACTAGACAAGCTTGCTGAAAACATGCATGTTCATAAGTGAATCTGTCTTTGCCTGCACATTTTTGTTGTTGTTGTTTAGTTATAGTTGTGTCTTTGCTTTACTTAGTACTTTAGCCTGGCAAAATTTTACCCCTAATGCTAAGGCCACATTTCACATATGCTTAAAATCAGTACAGCTGGTGAAGGAGCTGTTGGGGACACCCCTCCATCCCCTCCCAGCCCTGACAGACCCCACGGCATCAGGGAACTGATCTGGGTTGAGCTAACTTGGATCAGTTCCCCAGTTTGAGTCACAGTACAGTGGCTTCAAGTGCTGGTGCCAGCACAAGGATGAGGGTGACTCAAGGATAAAAGGGAGAGGAGAAAGGAGGGCTGGACTGGGCTGTGCTATTCAGTGCTTCATGCCAGTTTACAGTGTGCCTGTGCTGAAGTTGTAGTATGCAGGAATATTGGGGGAGCTTCAGTCTCTCCACTTTTTCCAAAAATCTCTTTAAGGGCAACTGTTCTCTATTTTTAAATAACTTTTGTATTTAATTAAACCCTCTGTGTCTTTCAAGAGCCTGTTTCTTTTACATGAATGTTGGACCTAGTTTTTCTAAAGCACATTGAGAGTGATGGAGAGCTCTGGATACCAATAAGTGTTCCAACTGGCCAGTGCTAATGATCAACCAGCACCTGTCAGTACCATTTGTTTCTGCTTTTTTTGGGATTCACACTGGAACCTCTTTCTTTTGTCCTACTGGAATCCTTGGAAATGAAAAGTCCAGCAATACTCGCTTGGTATTCCTTATCACTCTGGTGGACAAATAAGTCTTATGTGGTACCAAATGCTCAATAATTTGCTTAACTTAGAAGTACAGCTCTGCCTCTTAGTTTCATAAATATTTTCTCTGTATTTACTCAGCAGTCAAAGCTCAGCAAACTGAAGAAAACATATTATTACATCTAATCAAATTTAAATGCTTCAAACTAGACTTCAGTCACATTTTTGTCCAGAAACAATTGTGTTTCAATCCCATCTGTGATGGGGACTGAGAAGATGAGCTATACTAGTTTAATAAAATTGCTTCCTCTTTGGATTAGATGGTAATTCTTAAGTTTGGAGGTTTTTAGTATACATATATTTTTGGTTTAATATATTTTCCAGAAACATTTTTTATGTTCATTAATTAAAACCCAAGCCCGTAGGCAGAAAAATGTAATCTGTTTTATGATGTCTATAACTTGTTTGTGATGATTATTTATGATAAATAATTAATGGTTACACTGCCAAAAGAACTTGCTGTGGCTTCTAGAGTCCTGTGATTGCCAGTGTGGCAGAAAGAGAAGAGCTTGCTTCTGGGCTGAAAACTCCAGTAAAACACAACTGTGAAAAGAAAGAGTTACACAAACATGTCCTTGATAAAGTCTCAAAACTAGTTAAAAATGGCAACAAGATTAATATCACCACCTTTTATCTGTACACTTGTTTAAAAAGTAGTCCAATTACTGATAGATGTTTTCTAAGACACTTTGAATGTTACCTAAGTGTTTGAAACATTATTTTAAGCAGGAGTCTCCAGCTTAATATTATAATAATAACCCTGCCCTTTCTACTGCTTTTTGGAGATTTTCCAGCATCTTATATGAGTTTTGATGGAAACTGTAACTGTCTTCTGGCATAAATAACTGCACATCATTTAACCAGAAAATTAGTTTGAGAAGGCATCTTCTCATAGCAGGGTTGTCCTAGCATGGACACAGCAGGTAAATGTATCCCCAGCTTTTGGAAAGAGCAAATCAGCAAGCTGTCCTTAACCAAAACTGTAATTGAGATAACAGTTCTGGGATTCAGTTATTTTAAAGCAAGACCAGGAGATGTATGTTTGTGTAAGTGGTTGTGTTCAAGTTCAGTTACTCCTCGTGATAATTCAAGGAAAAGCTTGTAAGTGCTAATAAGATTGCTCCAACAGAGAAGTACTGGGAGTCAAGGTTGCTTAGGTTTGGCTTTAGTTTAATGTTTTGGAGGTAGATTTTACTTTTTGGCCAAATTTTACAACCCCCCAGATTGGCCTTCTATAATGTATTTTGCTTAACATGCAGAGGCTCTGATTCTGCAGGCTTTAAATGTCTGTTGTTCAAGTGTTGCCAGTCCAGGGAAGGAGCCCATGAAATGGTAATCTTTGAAATTCATGGGGTTCAGTGTGGAGAGGTCTTTGAGCAGAGGTGAGAGACCTCAAAAGAGTGAGCCAAAGCAGTACCTGATATTATCAGCTGCTAAGGAAGAGTTGGAAGGAGAAGTTTTTAACATGGCATCTGGAAGAAAGATATGCAGAAAAAATAATGGTTTGATGATGCTGAGAAGCAAGAAAAAAATCAGAAGAGGAATGGAAAAGAAATTGCATCTTTTACCCAATTCTGGAAATTCCTTCAGATGCCTGGGATGTGTCATTTTCCTACTCACTGGTTTAGTCTTCAGTGCATGTTTTTATCTGAAAGAGTAAGACAAATGAAACACAGAAGTGGATGCAATCTTGTTCCAGTATTCTCATGCTTCCACTTCATACTGGATTTCTTCTCCCTGTCAGTTTGATGTTGATGAGGTTGCAGACTGCTCTGCTTTTAAAAACATCTCAGTGCATAGGCAAGTGCTCAGTTTATTACTAGTTTTGATCAGGAGCATCTCAAATTAAACCATATTCCCATTTTTTATGTAACAGCTTTCTTTATGCTTTAGTGTCCTTGGAGGGCTGTTGACACTTTGTAGCTGATAAACAATTTCCAACAGTTTACCTCAACTTAAAATAAACCTGTAAGTGTTCTTTACAGTGGCAACAAGGCAGTTCTGAAGATGATAATTTACATTACATTAGGTTCCAGGAATGCCTGGTGTGTTCCGTGTTGCTAATAAACACCAAGTAACAAATATTGAGGTAAGAGTCATGATTTAATCACTTAATGTTGCCATTAAGTCTTAAAGTCAGTAAATCTAGATAATAAGCAAAAAGGTAGATCTTTACTTGGCATTGAAAATGCTTAATAAAGGTGCTTGGACTTTTGTCAGCTACTGTCTTTTTGAAACTCTGTTTTATTCAACTGTCAACCAAGAGTTTAATTTAGGCCTATTAAATAGTTGCTGGCATGTAGTTGTGCACAGATCAAAACAGTGAATTATTGAATATTTTTAAGTTCTAATTACATTTGGGTTTGGTTTTCAGAAGCTCCCTGTTCTCCGAGGCAGCAAGTTCTGGTATTGAGAGCAATATGTTTTTAGCTGTAAATTCATTGTAAAGTTCACATCAGCAGGAACTGGAGTTACAGGTGCTTTGGTGGCTGCATCGCTCCGGCTGTTGGCAAGAAAGGTGCCAATTAGGACAAATCTCCAAAAGTCTGTTGTATCTGTTTATGTTGTATGACTAACCACGGGAAGCTTAACTTAGAATACCTCTCTACCCCTGTACATCTTTTTACAGTCAGCAGTTTTTTTCATTCTGAGTTTGTGCCTTTTAGAGTGTAGTGAGTGGATACATGCCTTACTCTTTTTGCTGAATCCTTCCTGCAGCTTCTTCAGCCGGTGGCCATGGTTCATTTCTCCTTCAGATCTCGTTGCAATTACTGTCTCTGCTGACACCTCACCTGTCTGTCCTGTTCCTCTCGATTTGGCTGCGTGTGAGACTAATGCCTGCAGACAGTATTCACACACCTCCTGGCTTTCTGGGCTTGTCTCAGTAGGGCTGAACTGTTAGGAAGTGTTCTGTGAAACTGGGGACGGATCAGCAACTGAATTATGTCTTGACAAGAAATCATCATTTAGTTTCAGAATAATCTGTATTCTGCAAGAGTCCACTTGAGTTGCAGCAGCTGAGGTTGCTTTATGGAGGATGCCTTCCCAGTTTGAAAGCTTAACATTATCAATTCTGTGGCCGTTAATTGAAGATAAATAACAAGTCTGTTGTTTTTTTTAAAACTGAAGCAGCAGGAAAATGAGTCACTACTTTAATAGTCAAAAGTATGAGTGGATATATTTTGCACTCATTATCTACATTGCTTGTTTCTTTTGGCAGAAATGGATATTCCTACAAAGTGGCAGTGGCTCTGTCCTTATTTCTTGGATGGTTGGGAGCAGATAGATTTTATCTAGGCTATCCTGCATTAGGTAAGTTTATTCCTTTTCTTTGAGGTCAAGCTTGTTATTATGACTAAATTGTATGTGTATACTCATATTTTAGGTAATGAAGACCGGCAGTCATAATTTTAATATTTACAACTAGAATCCTTACTATATTGTCAAGATAAAATGCTGCATTATCCTCAGCCTTCTCTTCTGTTGGAGTGGTGACAAATGGATATATAGTTGTCCAGCAGATAAAATCCTAATAAGCAAACGTGGTTATTGCTGTTCGTAGTTTTGCTTTGCATCAATGTTTACCACAACATTCTTTGGGAGGCACTGGAACAGAAGTGGGTTTGACTCACGTGCCAGCTACTTAAATGAGGCTTGATTTTTACCAGAAAAATAGCACACAAATTTACAGTAAACCTGGTGTTTTGGGAGATGGAATTTATTCTGGCAAATGCATAGCTTCAAGATAAATCACACTGCTAATAACAGTTCTGCAGAAGCTGGGATTTCTAATAAGATCTCTCTCTGATTGGTATTTTTAGGACCTGATTCCCAGGATGATGGTGCCACTGACTTTAAATAGTTAACAATTAAAAAAACTGTAAAACTGTATGTTAAAACAACTTTTACTGGCTTTGTTTCTGAGCTGGGCAAAGAGAGTCATTTAAGTGTAGATAGCATGGAGCAATGATTTGGAAAAAGCTATGTGTCTTACTGTCACTTCAGTTGGGAATTTTGAGTTTCTGCCCATTAAATGCAAACACTTCTTTTTTTTCTTTAATGACATTACCTGTCCTCAGTGATCTTGTGTTAACATCCATGCCTTTTATCCCTGAGATTCTGTAATTAGCACTGACTTTGTCTATCTGTTTCACAAAAAGATACATTTTTGGAAGCAGTCAGTAAGGTGCATCTTTTTGTAATATCACTGCATTTGCAATAATAATTTGCAGTAATTATTTTGTAATATATTGTAGTATATATAGATTTATAAATCCTTAATTCTCACATGGAAGTTCTTCATGGCTCATGCTTTAACCCTACTGGAATATACTGTAGCCAGTACCAAAGTTAAGACCTAAAATTAAACCCTTCCAAAGCCAAGTTTTCTCTGTTTTGAAAGGTAAAGAAGACAAAAGCAAATAGGTAAGAGTAGAAAAGATTAAAAGAATAAAAATCAACACATTGGATTCCATGACAGTGACTGATTGGGGATTTTTTAAGTCATCTGAGCCTTGGTAAAAAGTGGTCAAGAAAGGTTAATGGCATTGAAATATTTTTTGCAAGTGTAGTGAAGAGTGTAAATGCTCTTTGGTTTATTTTTTTTCCATCTCTTTTGCTTAAAGAGCACACAAATACAAACAAGCTATTGAGTATGAAGAAATCAGGAAAGCAACCTCTTCCTCTCCCACACACTGTGAACTAAACCATCAATTATTAATGCAGAAGAGCATTATTTTTCTCTCCATGCTTTAGTGAAGTTTATTTTCTCAGTGTGATCTGCTGGTGGGGAGGGAAGTGAGGAGGAAGAAAAAAGCCCTGCACTCCAGAAATAAATGCCAGGTTCAGAAGCCTTTCTTCTCCATCCAGTTCCTCAGGTGACCTAGAGCTGCTGCTGGAACCAGCAATGGTAAGAGACCTGCTGGGTTCCTCAAATGCCAGCTGGTATGTTCCATGGACAGGGACACCTTTCACTAGACCAGATTGCCCAGAGCTCCAACCAGCCTGGCCCTGAATGCTTCCAGGGGTGGGGCAGCCACAGCTTCCCTGGGCAACCTGTGCCAGGACCTCACCACCCTCACAGTCAGGGGGAATTTTTTTTCCCTTGTGGAAAGGGGAGAGAGTTGAGATGCGATTGCCATCAGAAACATGTGAACTTCACAGTGGTTGCTTAAAGTTGCAGTTAAATTTTATTTTTATTTTTCAGGTTTGTTAAAGTTCTGCACTGTAGGATTTTGTGGAATTGGGAGCCTAATTGATTTCATACTTATTTCAATGCAGGTAAGTCAGGGTTTTCAAAACAAGATATAAATCTCTGTTTGTTAAAGCTGTGATTTGATTGCTAATACTTTGTTAGCATTTTAACCTTAAGAACCTTTGGGTATTGAAAAATCAAGGCATTTATTTTGGCTCTGTTTGGAGACTGATGTCAGAGAATATAGACATGAAATATCAATATATTTGCTGTTGGAATTAAAAATTAGATTAGCTATTTATAAATACTTACAATTAAGAGCATCATAAATTCACTTTATCAGAACCTCTTTATATGACACAGGGTGTTGGACTCAGCATGAGATGTCCTGGTGTTCCCAAAATTCTGAAGTTCTGTGTTTGCATGTGCTTTATACTCATGAGAGAAGACATTGCCACTTTTTTCTGCCTCTCTTCCAAATACAAGTCCCAGATCAACTGAGAGCTGTGACTGTAGGATTCATGAGGGTGAAATCCCCAGCTGGAGTGACATCTTGTGACATCAGGAAATTGCCAAATTTCTTATTCTACAGTGCAGCCATTTAGCATGAATTGCAAACTGCCTTTCATGAAGTTAAACTCCATTGTGGATATAGGAGTTGTTTCTATGGGTTTATAGGAAAATATTTTGAATGTGTGCATCTTTGTATATCTGCATGCATCTTTGTCTTTTCTGTGCATTCTCTAATTCCTTTCTATGCTATCACAGTGATCTTGCCTCAGAGCTCTTACAGATCCAGTTGAGAGTATCTTTCATCTCTCCTTGTTGATCTCCCTGATGACCCCACATCAATCTAGCACTTCCAGAACAAAAAACTCCATGATCTTCTCTACTTCTCTTCATTCCTTACCTGTGCCGTGTTTCAAAGATACTTGTCATCAGTCTAATTCTCTGCTGCAGACCCTCCTTTGTTCAAGAAAAATGGTTTGGAGCCCACTCATTTGTTAACCTGATTTTGTGACTCAAATCCTTACCGGATTAACGGAGTCCCAGTGCCTGGCTGTGTAATTTGGTTGATTAGAAGCCCAGGGGAAATGTTCCTTCTGAGACAGCGCTCGCTAAAACAGTTAAACTGCAGCATAACTTCAAAATAAATCTAGTTTCTGTTTGACTAATTAAGCATGACTAATTTTATGATGGGAAAATTAGCAGTAATTGAGACATTAGCACAAAGTATATATTTCACTTCATATTGAAAAGTCTTGGTTCTTTTTTTCTCTTGCAGATCGTTGGACCTTCCGATGGCTCCAGTTACATCATAGATTACTACGGTGCGAGGCTCACACGGCTCACCATCACCAATGCAACCTTCAGGAAAATGCAGACCTATCCCTAATCCTGGCAACAAGTGTCACAAATCCATAGGTGCTGCTTATTTCAACAGCTGGATCCAGTTGTCCACTGGAATTGCTGAGGACTTATTAATTGCACTTCATCAGAACAGAATATTAAATGTACCTTGAACGAAAATGATCAAATATGAAAGTTCCTCAAGTGAATGAGTTTACCTCAGAGGTCTAATTTTGTGGCTGCTCTATTTCTGGGAGCACAGAGTTTCTTGCGAAGTTATATCATTTGTGAAATATGCAGACTTTTGTAATTTGCACTGATGTTCTGTGTCTGTAAGTATAATTAAGAGTGTTACAGAGAACTGGAAAAAGAGTGGATGGGCCAGGATTACACTCAGGATCTGTTCTCATAACAGTTTCGAAAGTGGCAGTTTGGAAATTAACTTAAATATCCCAAACCACACAAACTGTCTTTCTTTCTATCCTGTTAAAATCCAAATAGCCCCAAGTCTTGTTCTGGTGTATCCTGTGAAATTCTGTTAATTGAAATAATGACTTCTGTAAAGCTTGAAGACAAATTTTGGTCAAATAGCAAACTTAGGTCAGTGCTGATCAACAGTAAAAAGTATGGAGGCATAAAAAATAGAACCTTAGATGACACATAACAGAAAGTGAGGGTGGATGTTGACATGGCCTGGGGTTAGAAGAGGAAATAATTATTCTGCTTATTTTGATTTTTTTCTTTCCTCCTTTGCAACCATCCACAGTGAAATACATACCTTCTTTTTCTGAAAATAAATTGGTGCATGTGTTTTACAGCTACAGTGTCAAAAGAGTGAATTCTTTGTACTAATAAAGCCCTTAAAAGGTTCTTTTTTTTTGGATTGCTTGTGTTTCTGTGAAATAATTCTATGTCCTTCAAAGTCATTTGACCAGAGTCTTTAGGACAACTAAGATTTCCCATGTTGTTCCTTTAAAGAAAAGTATATACACCTAGAGACAGAAAACAAAATCTTCACATTATTTGACCAATTATAAACATTCTCTTTACCTTCTAAGGAAAACTGGCAGCAACTGAGTGAGGAATCCACGTGATAGAAACTGTAGTCTACAGATTTTTAAAAAAATTTGGCCTATTCTGTTTTTCAGCTGAAACTTTCAAAACATTATAATGTGTCCACAAAGGGTATCTTTAAGGGAATTACCAAAAGTGAGATTCCTAAATTGATTTTTTTAAAGCACAATTTGTGGTTTTCAGTCTCCTTTTAACTCACATTAAGCCCAGCGCACAGAAAGCTTTGTAAAGAAATCCTGGTTTTTTTTCCAAATCAGCGTAACCTGACATATCACGTAATGAGAATAAACCACAAGGAATACTTTGTGCTTAACATTAATTCCTTCCTTCACGCAAGAAAGACGTGGTTTTGGAATACTTCCTACCACGCATTTTACTTGTGGGTTCAAAGAGACAAGAACACACTGTTACAGCTCCCTTCCCTTGCTTGATATTTGTTGTACCTCCCTTTGGTTTCTCTCTCACTGAATGCTCTTTGTGCACATCAGTTTTGTTCCCTGAAATACTTTGAAAGACAGGAAGTGGATGGAAAATAGATGTTTGAATCAAATAAAATCTCCTGGCTAAGATCATCCTGTGAGTTGTCTGCTTTTGTTTTTTTACCCTGAAGCTGATAATGAAGCTGCAAAAATAGGAAGATGTCATGGATGTTATAATAAAAAACTAGCCTTGGGCAACTTACCACACAAGATTTCATTCTAAAATGTGTTTCCAGGTGTACAAGTAGCAGAGGGCTTGACATGGTGATTTCAGCAGTCCATCTTGTGCTTCATTATCTGTAGAAGAATCTGGGAGCTATTTTGCGTGAATCAGATGAAAATATAATTGGTAACAAGGTCTGTCAGGTAGTTTGTTAATCCCAGAAGCCAAGTAGCCAGCAGAGAAAGATCTGCTATTCCAAGTTGCAGTGTTTCTGTAGAAAGCAATGTGTGCCAGCCAGTCCAGGAAATAAAAACTGCAGTGGGATTCTTCCTTTCTGCAGCTCTGGTTTGTGATCCAGTGTATGGTCATGCCAGGACTGCACTGCTCTGTCATCACAGGCAGAATCCAGCCACGGGCGACCAGACAGGGCAATTTAATTCTCTCTCCTTTAAGTGGTATTCCAGTTCATCCTCTGTCTTGTCCTGACAACTTTCCACTTCATCCACTGCCCTCTCCCATGTCTGTGAAGCCTTTTAGAAACTAGTGCCAGAGATGGCACAACCCTTGGAACTTGTATGGGATGCTGCTGGGGTTCTGTTCCATATCTGAACACGCATGTCTGTGTTTCTATATTGCTCCTTCAGTTGAAGTGCAGAGAGGGTTAACTGAGCAAGCAGATAATAACTGCAGGGCCAAGAGAGAGTTAGTGAGGTCTTTGTTTTCATCTTGTAATTGTCAGATATGGCATGTTTACCATAAGGGCTGTGAAAAGTGTGATGCAAGATGTAAAGCTGTCCCTCTGTGTCAATAATAAATTGGCTATGGGAATATTTATCAAAATGTCTGTACGATGATGATTTTCTGTGTTGCCGCCTGCTTTAGCTTCCTCCTGTCAATCAGCTTGTCCATCCCAGTGTCTCTGTAGTTCTGACTGCACTGGAATAATATTCTCTCTGGATTGTTTCCCCCAAAACTGTTGCAAAGCAATGAAAATAATTAGACAATGTAGTATGTTATCCTCCTGCCTTGTTCTCAGATAAAATGATATCTGCTGGCCTTGCAGATAGTCAGGAATCCTTTCAACATTCCAACAAGGCAGAGAAATACTATTTTGTATCTGTAAAATTAAAGAACATCAAAAGTAAAGGCCAGAGTTTAAAACAAGAATTTGAAGTGCCTAGGCTTTAAAACTCATATGAAGCTGTTCACTGATGATGCTGCAGATCCTGGCCAGGCATGAGTTGTACTTCTTCAGTTAGGTTAACCTGTGCATCCTAAAGTGTATTTAGAGATATTTTAGAACAAACTAGTTCTTGCTCCGAGGATTTAAATCTCAGCTATGCCACAGCAACTTCCTGTGACAGTATTCTGTTATCCTCACCATTTCCCTCTCCACTGCCACCAACTACTTATTACATGAAGATATCACTGCTGCTTTCAGGACCTGATAACACCTTAAATGTTAGCTTTTATTCTGTTTCCAAAGATGTATTCCTGTACGTCTGCCAGTAAAACTTCTCAGCTCCACAGGAAGGTCTTTGTGTTTAAAATGCTCCCTTAGAATTTGTTTTTGGAGAACATCTGTTGTCACCCCATCAAGAATTGTTTCCTTTGTTCCTCAGGAGTATATTCAGTTATATTTGCTTGCATAGCCATGTCTATTCAGTCTGCTCCTATCTCCTCTCTGTTTTTAAGATTTTTTAAATTTTAGATGCATTAGGTTTTCGGACCAACTCTGCCCTGTTGCTTACTCTGCAGTTTTCAAACCTCTTTTCTCCAGAAGATGATGTTAAATACAACGAAGTTGGGTGCTCAAGCACCTAGTTGGGGAAATTCCAAAGGCAAGACTGCATTTCCATTGCCTCATAGGACTGTTGCTAATTGTGTGATTGCTAATTATGTCACTAATGCATCATACAGGCTTTCAAACTCAGTGTCATCTCATCCCTAACTACTCTGCCTTTTTCATTATTATAAATGGTCACTACACAGCTTCTTTAAAAAATACATAATTTGAATTCATTTAATTCATGCTCTTTAACTAGCTACCTTGTTCTGGGTTCAGCCTGCATCAGTCTGCCAAGAAGTGAAATATAGGAGATTATTCTGTTTGCATCTTCTGCCTGAATCCGAGGAGAAAAAATAGCTTAACTTTGGGCATATGCTTAAGTGTTTTGCTAGACTGAAATTTGATCAAGGCTCTTCCCACTTTCTTCCTCTCAATCCATCTGTGTTACCCAGAGAACCTTTCTAATCTCTGGGAATTATAAGAGAAAATCGCACTCTGAAGGGAAACCTCAGCACTGACAGTGTGAATGGCTAATGGTATTTGATACAGCTCTCCAATTCCCTCGTGTCCCAACTTTTTTTTTTCACCTCAAAGCTGCTTTTTGTTGCCTTTTGTTCATAAATCTGTCTGTCCGTGTACCAGCTCCCTCTGGACATCCTGCCCCAATTCTTCAAGTAGTTCTAGTAGGAGCTGGACCCTTCAGAGCTGTATCAACTATGTAGAAATGCCACGGCATCAGATCAGATAATCTGGTAAATCCGAAGCAAAGACCCGTTGGGGAGCAGTAGATGTCAGTTAGAGGAGGTTGTAGGCTCCAGTTTCTGCACAAAGAGTCTGAAACTCAAGATCGCGTTGTCTCTCTGCCTTCTGCTTCCTGAAGGTGGAGCCAAACCCCCTATCAGATCGCCAGATCTTCCCAAGTTGTTCTTTATCACACAGCAAAGGCTTAGCACGCCGGTATTTTTCCTTGCACCACGGAGAAAACTGGAAAGTGGCTGCGAGGATTCTGTCTGGCCACTATGTACTGTGCTCACTCTAGGTCTAAGACTGCAGCAAAGGAAAAGAAATCCAAGGATAAAAGGACACTCAGAATGCTGTTTGCACCACGTGTGATGGAGATTTAGTTCCATAAACTCCGAACAAAAAAAAAAAAAATTTAAAAAATACTGCTTGTCACAAATACAAACCCCCCGCTTTTCTCAGGATTTCTGATTCCAACTCTTTGTGCTTCATTAAAATCTCGAACATCCACGTGCTCCAATAACTCTCCATGATCCATCTGAATGGCTGCTTTCAGGACTGCAGTGCTCCCTGAGCAGCACATTCCTCGGGCTCTGCAGATGCATATGACACAGCAGAATTTTAGGCAGTATAAGAATTATAAAGCTCAGTTTCCATTACTGTAATTGCTATATAAATCCTACCTTAGAACAGGCCTATTTAACCTTGGTTTGGGCTCAGACTTGATCCAAGTCTGATAAGTTGATCACCAAATTATTTTTCTTTTTTTATTCTCCTTCTTTTCTCTGCAGTATCGTAACTTAGTGGGCAGTGGGGCAGGGAGGGAGGTGGGATCCAGTGGCTCCTCTGCCTCTGCCAGGGGGTGACTGCAATCAGGCAAAATACCTGTCCCCAACCAGCAGCAGGAAGAAATGAGCTGTGCATTTTGTTCCATGTGAAAAGCACCGTTTCTCCCCTTGGAACCTGTGGCTGCTCCTCATACACATCTGCACTCGGAGCAGGTGTGTGAGACGGCTCGGAGGCAGACAGTCCACAGAGCACAGCAAGGAGGGCTGGGGTAAACCTTCAGAGCCTGCACCCCTTGGAGGGCTGGCGCAGGAATTCCCATTTTTCATGTAATTTGCACTAGCTCGATGAAAGTGAAGGTGATGGGTGCCCTGGTGCTTCCCTCGTGGGATGCTGAGGTGCGTTGAGATGCTGCCAGTTGCCTTTCAGGTTAAAGCATTTAAAATTTGTGGTAGAAGGCGTACTGGGTTCAAAGTGAAAGAGGGGAAATTTAGGTTAGATGCATACAAGAAATTCTTGACTGGGAGGGTGGTGAGGCCCTGGCACAGGTTGCCCAGAGAAGCTGTGGCTGCCCCATCACTGGAAGTGTTCCAGACTGGGTTGGACTGGGCTTGGAGCAACCTGGGATAGTGGAAGGTGTCCTTGCCCATGGCAGGGGGTTGGAACAAGATGGTCTTTAAGGTCCCTTCCAGCCCAAACCAGTCTGCAATTCCGTAATTCTAAAACTGAAAAGAAGTTGGTGGCACTATATGCAGAGGTTGGTGGAATCCTGCTCCACTGTTGGAGCATGCCTGACTCCCAGCTGTAGGCCAGGGAGCAGCTTTGATATGGATAACCATGACTTG